GGTTTATATATACAAATAAACACGTACACATGAGAACCCAAATTAAAATATGCAAAGCTGTTATACTCCTTGTTTCTACAACTGGCCACAAAATTAGATTTGAAAAGTATGACTTCTACTTCTCTTTCCTTGTTTCCCCCACCCTCATCCAGAACCTCAGCTGGTCAGAGTACCTGGTGGAATGAATACACCTTCATTCTTGAAGGGTGTCAGTACTCAACAGTCCTGTCCCTTTTTGGTTGCTGTGCTTTTCCATTTACCTCTAGCATTGGACGTGGAAGTACTAAGAGGCAACACACTAATAACTGAGACAATGCTCCTGCCAAGGCTGTCTGCAATTTCCTGCTCCAGAAAATTCTCTTGTCCATTTACATCTGAATTTGGCTAGTATTTCTCTTCTTTCCACCTAGTGTTCACCAAAAGAGCAACCAGATCCTTCTTCTTAATTTCCTGAATTAACGCAACACAGTATTTTCATGGGTAACAGAAATGTACAGAAGATTTGTGAAAATAGGTGTGTTTCAGCATCCAAGAAGAAGTATATGAAGTGAATATTAGACTTCTCCCATCTTAGAAGTCCATCAACCAATCATTTCCCTGGAAAATTTTGAATATGCACATTTTCTGATCAGACTGCCTAGATCCCCTCCAAAGTAGAGCTAGGGCCCTACACTCTGAACAAAATCAAGTTGGATTAAGCAAACTCTATACTGCAGAGGGATTCAGCCCCTGTCCTTTCATATACAAACACTATAAAATGTTCACAAAGTATTATTCATTACCAAAGTAAAATGACTTCCCATACCCAAATTCTACCTACACTCAACCAGCTCAAACAAGTCATTTTTTTTTTCCTTTAGCTATAGAAGCACAAAACATGAACTGGCAGTTCTCAGAGCCACATAGTCCCCCAGCAGTCTGCAGCCAAAAGCACAAATGCATGACTCCCAGTGACTTCCAGCACTCACCTCAGAGTCTTCCACCTCGGGGAGTCTGTAGCTCCAAGAAAAGCATAGCAAGGAAACAGGGACAGAGATGCGTCCCTATGGAGGCACAGCCTTGGAGTTGTGGGGGAGTAATGGAGATTCAGGCCCTGGGAGAACACCATCCCCACCAGAGCCAGAGCTCAACCCCTCCCCTGAAGGGCTCAGCAGCTCATTCAAAGAAGGAGATTTGTTAAGGGGCACAGGGGGCCCCTTGGACCCACCTACCATGGAGCAGATGTTCAGGGACATGTATCCTGACTTTAACATGAAATATGGAAAGAGCGTCCCAGAGAAGGAAGCTTCAGAGAAGGAGAAAATGTGGGACTTATCAGTCATGTTGTAGAAAGAGATATCTCCAGCTTCGTAGTCCAGGAAAATCCCCACCGTGAAGGGATACTTCCTAAGGATTAGCTGTGTCCAAGGAATAGTACAGGCAAAACACTCACCGAAATACCATTCCACAACCCAGAACCCCTTTTCTGGGCACTCTGTAAACCAGCCTTTCCTAACGACATCTTCCCTACAGACCCCCACAGCCCATACACTTATGTCTGAACCTCTGGCCTCCACCTCCCAGTAACATCGCCCTGAAGTGATGCCCTCAAGACCCAACACACTGCATCTTTCAGAGTCCGGATTCTCACAAGTGTCCTTCCAGGTCAGACGCATGTTTTTCTGAGAGAGGAACAGGCTGGGATGGGCAGAAAATGGATCCAGAGTGACTGACCCTGTAAAGAGAGTTACCGAATCAGGCAAGGCCCTACCCTGCCCCATGACAAGGGCACAAAACCACTTTCCCTCAAAGCTACTTAGTGACATGAGGAGGGAGCTAAGCACCCAGAACTGAGAGCTACTGATTCAAGTCCCCAGCCTTCCAAGAAGGAGAAGAAACCAAAAGATTGATATGGGGGTAAGATCCATCACAGAGCCCTTGAGGAACAGCCTGGATTCCAGGGGTTCAGGGATATCTATTTCGCATCCAGGATCAGCTACACCCTTTAGCACCAGCTACACGACTGTCCCCTTCACCACCCACACCACCACCATCAATGGTGCCTGTATCTGTATCACCATAGACAACTGAAAGGGAGGCTAGAAGCCATGGGGCAGGCAAAAGGAGCTCCCAGAAAGAACTCTTGAGTCACTCACAGGTCTGGAACTGCTCCTTCCGCCAATCTACAAGAGAACCACACATTTCATATCAGGGAATTGCAGACTTTACACATCAGGATCAGCACCTTTTCTTACAAAACATAGTGATGCAGGAGTTATAGGGGGAAATGTTTTAGAAATATTGAATTGATGTATTTATTTCTGTTTTCCTCTCACACACCCATAATCCTCAACCTTCTCATGAAATTTTGCAGCCTTCCCATTAAGGCTAAACGATAAGGCTTACCACCCAAGGACTGAGAGGCTGGATACCTACCTGAACAAAAGGTCATTGCTCAGCTTTAACTATCTAATTATGCTTTCTCAATTCCTAGCCAGCAACTACATTTCAACCCATGCTCTACTGAGAAAGAATTGAGGAGATCAAAATTGCCAAGGCCTCCATTTACTTATCAAGAGCTCATTGAGCTGAATTTGTAGGATGCCTCTAAACAATGGATACAGAGAATTATGACGGACTGAGCTGAACTTACAGAATGACTATAAGCCATGAGTGAAGAGAATTCAGGATATGGCAGAAGTTGACTCAAGTTAGGAGGCAATGGAGAGATTTCTAAGAAAGGGAGAAAGAGAAGCTCAAAGCAGGAAACATGTAAATAC